GCTCAATCTAATCCCAAGATGGCCACTGTGAGACCCAACATATCATCGGAAAGACGTACTTCAACAATCTAATTTATTAGAAGATCAATTTGGAGCCACTTCTGGATTAAACACTGGATACAATGGAGGATACAATAGTAGTCAAAGACCATCCTCATAAAAGCCTCAGGATTTCAAATAATCAGTCAGCACCAAATCCCTCAATCAATTTTATACAAGTGGCACTTTGTAAAATCAATAGAGTATCAAACAAAAATATGAAATCTTTGTACGAAGATGGGTTGATTACAGCAGTAAATATGGACTTGGGTATCTTCTCAGTAATGGTGCTACTGGAGTCTTTTTTAATGATTCTACGAAAATCATTTTAGATCCCAAAACTCAAGAATTTGAATATTTAGAAAGAAAAGGCACAGATAAATAGGATGCCATTGAAAAATTTTCTATCAACAGTTATCCCAAGGAATTGCAGAAAAAAGTTACACTCCTTTAACATTTTAAATCTTATTTGGATGCTGATTCTAAAACAATTACTTCCTCTGACACCAATGACTATGATCCATTCCAATCTGTCTATGTGAAAAAATGGATGAAAACAAGACATGCCATCATGTTTAGACTTTCCAATAAGATAGTTCAAGTATTCTGTTCTTCTCTCTCTTTAGGTAAACTTCACTGATAAAACTGAAATCATCTTGTCCTCAGAGAACAAATTGGTCACCTATGTTAACAAATTAGGAGAAAGGAGTCATTATCCCCTAGCAACAGCCCTTGATAGTTAAAATCAGGAGATGGCTAAGAGATTAAAATACACAAAAGAGATCCTAACACACATGCTTAATGGAAACACGAATGTCGACATAAAGAATCCAGAATGATCACTATATATTTGAATGTGAGATGATATAAATCATATAATATTTAAATTAATATAATTCAGATTTGGAAAGTAGAAGCAGCAGTGAAGACAAGAAGGAGAAGAAAAAAAAAAGAAAAATAAAAAAAAAAAGACAAAAAAAAAAAAAAAGAAAAACAAAAACAAAACACAACCCCCACCAAAACAACCCCAAACCAAAAAAAAAACCCCCCCAACCAAACAACACAACAACCAACCCAAACAAAAAACAGCAAACAAAAAAAAAAAAAACCAACAAAAAACACACAAAAAAAAAAAAAAAAAAAAAAAAAAAACACCAAAAAAAAAAACGAAAAAACAAAAAACAAAAAAACAAACAAAAAAAAAAAAAAAAAAACAAAAAAAAAAAAAGAGAAACAAAGAGAGAAAACAAAACCACAAACAAAACAAAACAACAAACAAACAAACAAACAGAACCCCCACCAACAACCCAACACCACCAAAAAAAAAAACCGCGGAGAAAAAAAAAAAAAAAAAACACAAACAAAAAAAACAACCCAAACCCACCAAACCACAAAACAACAAAAAAAAAATCATTAAACATGAATCAATCGATTCAGAATACTTGGATGAATTGGAAAATCAAAAGCCCCAATAAATTTCAGATAGAAGTGACAGTGAAATTGATGAAACCGAAGACAATAGAAGATTGAGATTGGCTAAATAAATATTGTAACAAACCAAACAAGAATTGAAATCCAAAAACGATGACTTTTTTCAAGATCATCATGACATTCACATGAATGATGAAGACAAAAGATTAAATGTAGCCCTACTAGAGAAAGTAACTCATCAACCTAATCTTAGTTTGCTGAAAAACACACCATCTATCAATCATAAATCCAAAAATTCGATCGTCAATTCAATCGAGAAATCTACAAAGGTCATCTTCGAGCCATCACTTGCACTTAAGTGGATGAATTCGCTTAACACATGTATTCCTGTTCCAAAGATTCGAGCATCATCAAATGTAATTCACAATCAATTAAGTTTTCAGGGGACCTAGAAACCAAGAAGAAGGAATTCATCTAGAGAGAAGTAGGTAAACACGGAGATGGCCATTACGATGAAGTCCTTTCCATTTCCCTCAATTTCGATGGCAAAATCTTGGCTAGTGCTGGCAAGGATCACTCCATCAAATTGTGGGATACTACATCCAATAAATTGATCGAAACACTCAAACATCATAAAGCTCCCATTTATGGCGTGAAATTCGGATACAACTCCAATAATCTATGCAGTATCTCTTGCGATAGAACCTTCATCCAATGGGACGCAGCCTAACGAGCTTATATTGACACATTGTAATATTTACAAGTAATTTATAAGTTTTGGACATAGCACAGAAGCAAATGACATCGATTGCTTTAATGCTGATGACTTCTTGAGTTGCGGCTATGATAGATAAATGATTCAATGGAAAACTAAGTCAGGTGGACAACTTCTATACAGTGGACACGAATAATCCATCGATTGCATCAGGGCTATAACTCTGGACACCTTTGCTACTGGTTCAGTCGATGCCAATGTCAATTTGTGGAATGTCAAAAAAAGGAAGCCTCTATTTGAACTCCACAAACCTCATGGCGACAGATGGATAACTGCGCTGGTAATTGTTTTTATCCATGTGTAGGGAACCGTTTACAATAGTGACCTTCTGGTTTCGGGATCCTATGATGACAATCTGAACATCTACAAGGTCACGAACAAGGACATTACAAAAGTCAGGTCTTTGCAGAGTGTAAGAATTTTTAGAAATAATTTAGTTTGGAATCGTTAATCACATCAATGTGTTTGATAATAAGATCCTCACTGTTGAGAGTCAGGAACATCGTTTGGGGAGGTGGGTTACTTCAACGAAAAGCAAAAATTTAATTGTGTTGTATTTATGATTAATTATTTTCTTATATATATATAAGTTTTAATAAGTTTAATGAACAATAGCTAAAAATCATCGTTAATTACACAACATTAAATTTACACTCATTACATTTTCATAAACCTAAATTTTATGAAATTATTTGTTTTACTTCTTTGCCTATTCTGCTTTGCATAAATGTGGCTTTTGTTTAACGGATTTTCCATTTCAAATTTCACTTTTCATTTATTTAAATTAATATACGATGTCTCTCAATTCTTAAGACGGATCATTCCTTATTGTCTTTTTATTTTATTTTATATTTACATACCAGATCTTTTCAATGACTAAAAATGCTGAAAAGCAATTTAACTATCGAGCCTATGTGAAAGTTTCGGCTAAGCAAAAGCTCTAGTTAATAGCTCTAGTATTTGGGGAAGAATGGAAGATTAAGAAAGTACTTATTCTTACTACCAGTTAGGCAGCTTCGTTCCTCTTTATAAACTACGCCTCAGCCAAAAGTATCATTTTAAAACACAGAAAAAACTCGATACTCAAAAAAATGCCTTTGATTCCCGAGGTCAGGAGGTGCCATTACAAAACAATGAAAAATGGGAATCATAATTACAACATCCTGTGTCTGAAAGGAGGAATATTTCAAAACCTATTAGAAAATCTCTCTCAGAAATGAAGTCCCTATATATATGTATTTA